CACATGGTGACAATATCAACATGCTGATCTCTAGTGGATATAATATTTACTATGTTCACCAGCTTGGTTCAGAGTGTTTGCATGGAATGTGAATACGTCTGTGTGGATTCTCAGTCATCCAAGTCATAGTAATCCTAAGTGCTTATGTGAAAGGCAGCTGTATTTCTTTTTGGTTTTTGAAGTGACTTTTTCAGCTATAACCAGCTGGTGGGGAGTCCTGGTCATGTTAGCCTTGTGTTGGTAATAAGGGTTGAGTCATGTGAGTAGATGGTGACAAAAAATATCTAGAAGTCCCCACCAGTCAATTAGAACAAATGAGCCTCTTGGAGGACGTGTGACACCTCCTCAAGGACCAAAAGATAAGTCCAGTTGCCTTCTACGGAAGCACTTAGGATAAATGGGAATGTGTATTTCCTTATAGGTGGTCACTCATAAATCAATCAATACAAGCATTTTAGCAAGCTAGCGTTTAGTAGTCTCTGGTGTCGACGTTGTGAAATCAAAGGTCATCATTTATTGTCAAGGTCTTTATGTTATGTACATGTATCTTTGTTGCTGGGGAGCTATTTCATGTTGGTAAACTAACTTTCATGTAGCTCAGCATAATTGTGGAGGTTACCTAAGGGTCAAAAGGTTAAGGTTTGAGGCCAACCACAGAAGATATGTTTACACCCCTAAAAGGTTTTTTGTCTTTGAAAAGAAGGACTCAGCATTTCTCACATGGTGTGAAACACTGCACCATAAGGTTTAGACTTACAACCGATTTACAGTGAGCCAACAGGAAAAGAGTTTGTGTTCACTGTGAAAGCTGTTACATTTGTACGTCTTAGTTGGAGGAGAGAGCAGTGAGGTCCTTCCCCCGCTGTTGAGTAAGGTCTGTTCCTAATTGCAATGATGTGCTTTCACTCTCCATATTGTATGCAATATCAAATTTGCAGACAACCCTGCAGTGTGTTTATTTTATTGAATTGTAGAACCCAGGCGTAAAATGTCCCTGACAAAGTGCACCAAAACCATCTAAACATCCACCCCAACCTTCACCCTACTAACAAAGTTGCCAACTCTCGAGCTGCTTGTGTAAGACGCTGGCTCCCAGGGTCTGTCTTGCACTCTGTCAGAGCAAACCCCAAATATCAATTGTTGAGATTCACCAGTGGATGTAATCAGGAGTGTAATCCAGTTTTTTGCTATTAATAGGAGCTGATTTTGTGGTTTTCGTTGTTGGCACTGCAGCCTCACAGACAGACCTAATCCGACTGGCTGGATGTTCCTCCCCATGTCAGTGTGGGTTTCCTCCAAGTGATTCAGTTTCCTCCCACGCTTCGAAGGCATGGATTAAAGTGGCCCCAATCAATCAGCTTTTTAAAAAAAAGTCAATAAAACATTTCACAATACAAGTTCTGTCTGTGTAGCTGCATTTTGTGGTAGTTGTAAAGTTAATTTGTGATGTGATATTACACACAATGAGACAGCAGGACTGTCAGAGATTCAGGTTTGGTTTACAGTGGGAGGTTGATGTGTTTAAGAGCCACACTGCTAGCAAACCTCTTTTTTTAGTGACAGCTGAAAGCATTCCATGTTTATATTTATCCATTTTAAATGAGCAAGGAAATTGCATCCGATTTGTGTGTACAGTGCTCTCCAATTCCTCATATTTTAGTGGAAAAAAGTCCAATTACATGTACCCGGCTTCCTGCCAACAATCCCAAAACACAATGGATTTCATTTAAAAGTTACTGTTGTGCAACTCCAAACTTCTTTCGTAATATTTTGTCCGCCAACATTTTGGAAGTCGCATTAGAAAATTGCATTAGATTTCATAAGTGTCCCCAGTGAGACAGTATATATGTAGAGAAATTACTAAAAAGGAAGTAGAGAGTAGACATGAACTGGACTGAGGAACACACATGCCTTCAGACCTTCCATCACCTCTGTAATGACGGATTCCTGTGCCGTTCAGAGGCATCTAATGACAAACGCATCCCTCTGTTGTCTCTCACTAGTCACCGGATCGTAGCTGCCTTGTCATATATGAGTCATGGATGACCAGCAGGCATGAATGGAAACAATGACAAATGAAACCGTGATGCGGTGTCTCCCTTTGGCAGCCATTCTCATCATATAAATGCTGTAAAGCCTAGTGATATGAATCATTTCACCACATCTGATCGTGTTTGGTGTCTGAAATAGGACAAGTATATATTTTACTTAAACCAGCTATGAATATTTTATGGTAAAAAAAGAAATGGGGAGTCACTCACCCACCTCACTGAGTGAATTATCGCTGCACTCTGTCTCTTTGTTTTTGCCTATGGAGGGTTTTTTTTTTTAGAATCTTTCATCTCATTGTTTCGGTTTCTGTGATCGACTGCTTACCTGTTTATCACCAAACGTATTTCGAGCTGCAGCACGCAACTGTTTATTATCAAGCAAGCCCTTAAAAACCCACATTCTGGCCAAAACAGTTAGCAACCAGTTGGTGAATGCAGTGAAGCATTTAGCAATTAAATAAGCAGTTTTCTCCCTCTGGAGTTGGGGAAGAGAACGTTAAGTTCGCAACTGTTTTTTAACCCTAATGGGATGATAAAAAGTTAGATTTGCATTTATAACTTGTTGCAAGAGTCCTAAAAGTTAATTAATGCAAGTTTAGCTAAAAGTTCTACCGTATAGAAGTATTTTTTTTAGTAGATATGTGATATTATTTGGGATTTTATTTAAACTACTGATTGTAAAATGTGTAGGAAACATTTGCTTTTGCTTAAATTGGACTTCATTTACCTCTTTGCATACGGTTGCATAGAGTGAACTGTAAAAGCAACCGCAGATTCTGCATATAAGACAGCCTGCTGCAGGCTGTGTTCATTTGATTGACAGAAATGACTTATTCTCTGTGTGTGTGTGCAAGTCTTACCTACCTTCTTCCCAGTCAGTGTATGAGTCTTTCGTGGCATCTCACTTTCCCTGACAGCAGTCCTTTTGTGTCTACATTGTCCTGAGCTGCTGCAGGTAATTTCCCCACCTATTGTTCCCTTCCCCACCGCCAGAAACTATAATTCAGCTCTAACCAAGCGAGAACAGTACAGCTCTGTTGAATGCTTCAGTCCAGGAGAAGACAACTCTGGGAGGGACGAAACGGGTGGAGCGTGTAATGGTTTGGGAAACTTGTTACACCGTGCTGCGACTGGGAAGACTGGGCTCGTAAAAGGAGGTACACGGAGCAGAGCGATGCCGAATAACACTCCCCCCATGTAGAGCGAGGCAAACACACCTTTAGGGTGAAGCTGCCGTTAAGGCGGTTGCTGCCTGTAGTTTGATGTGTCGAGAAACATCAAGCATTGTCTTTCCTGGCTGAGCTACAGTGTGTCACCACATGTCAAAGTGAAGCATTGTAAGAGTTTGTGATTGCTGGCTTACAGGCTCGACGCTAAAATGTCGCAGAGCTTTGACAAACAGCAGTTCATCTTGCAGTAAAGCTGAAATAGTGTAACATATCTGACAGCTGGCTGTGTTCCTGCAGCCGTCAAGGGGGGAAAAAAAGGAAGAAAATGCCAGCTTCTTTGAGTTTGATGTATTTGTTTTTGTTTGCTTGGTTTTAAACTTTCATGCCTGAGACTAATTAAACCCTCTCTGAAGTCTTTTTTCTTCGGAATATTTGTGAAATAAACATATTTGCACTTGTGGGAGATAACAATAATTCATATAATAGTAACATTACAATTTGGAAGAGTGATTACTTCGTAGTGGCGGGCTGTTTTTTTGGCAGTGGCAGAGATCAGCGAATGGCTCTTGAAGCCAGACACGCACCTAACCACCGGGAGTATTCATCTGTCTCTGTGCATTCAGCCAGTGACTACACTCCGTCCAGCAGGAGCAGCAAAAAGGACAAGATTAACAGCAGTGGCAAGGAGGTGGGCCAAGAACTGGGAGTCATGGAGTTTGGTTGTGCTTGTGTTTTCTTAGCAGCAGGAGCTGAGGTGCTGGAACACGGCCGGGGTTTGTGGCTAAAAGTTTGGTTTTGCTTTTGGCTCTGGATATTAAATGGAAACGAGCTGAAGTGAGGATCAGAGTCGGAGCTGGAGCCAGAGGGGGTGTTGTGTTATGTTTGGGTGCTTGTTTGAGATGGACTGTCGTGATGTACCTGGAGTGTGGTCAGTCAGGGAGCTCGCTTCCCCCGTGCCTTGGTGGTTTTGGCAGGTACCCCTCTTGTGCTGCCTGACAGTTTGTCTTCTTAATAAGCTGCATGTCTAAGTATACGCTCTTCATTTTTACAGCTGGACTGATGAGAAGGCCACAATAAATGGGAGCCACAGGAGAGATATCTAACAGGAGTTAATGGGCCACTAAGGGAATATGAGGTTTTGAAGGCGGGGATGTTGTAACCGCCACTCTTTCACTGGGCTTTCACGGCTCTTTAAGTCGATCTGTCTAAGAATTATATCACAAAATTTCCATTTTGGGTCACAGGAATGTCCCTTTGCTGTAACTCTAGATTTTTTTGAAAAGGTACTTGCACAAATATCGCACAAACCCACAAGAGACTTGGCCTGAATTAGCAATACAGAAAGCATACCAAAAATAAAAATAAATAAATACACCGTGTGGCGATGCTCACGTCCTCTGAGAATATCCCTTTAAAAAGTGCCAGCATGTGATTTGTTTGGAAGGCAAAGGGAATTATCAGATGAATTGTCATTTTCTTTCAACTGTCATTTTGTGTTTTTACTCACAATTTTAGGGGAAAAGGCACCAAGTAGAAGAAACAAAACAATACAATTGACAAGATGACAAAATGGAGATGGGAATAGAGCTGACAAGAGTACAAAAAAGACATTTAGTGGCCTTGTGTGCAGTGTAACCTACTTTTAATGTCGCAACAGCACAAAAGGAAAGTATGCAGCTACCTTATTACATGGTATGATATGTGCGGAATATTTGCGTTTTCCGTGACAGGCGCCGGTTTGAGAGCTTTTATCTGACGGCTTCATTTCACTCTGTTGCAGAAAGCAGCGTTCACGAGGGAAGCACCGGCAATGACAATGATGGCAGCGTCTGCGGCAGCGACTCCGTCTTCTACAAGCAGAGCGAAGGTGAGAGATGACGAAAAAGCAGCATTTTGTGGCACTGTAGATGGGTAGTTCCAGCCACAGCTATAATCAACACTACTTTTTCCACTTTACAGTTGTTTTCTAGTGTGCTGTATATTGATTTGTCCTAAAGTAGTTTGGGTTTTTTCCTAAAAGGCTGAGCTTTTCTGTTTATTTCTCATTAATGTTGCCTTAACAAGTAGAGACAGACAGGGATGTAAGCACATTGGTACTCAAATTAACTGCCCACACGTGGAGTGACGGCCCTCTTTTAATCATTAAATTGCAAGCACATTAAAATTCACGTGCACGCACTCGAACATAAATCCACTGGATACACATAAAACCGCTGACGTGCCTTCATGCAAATGTACACACACATTAAATCAAAGCCTCCTACTCGCCACACACTGCTTATACCATTTACACGCTCGCCTTTACACACAAATAAACATGCAAACTAAATATGCGACTAAACAGCCCCAATCTAACAATGAAGCCAATTCCATTTGTTTATCAGTAATTATGAGTTGTTTGTGCAGTGATCAAGATCTGCCATTTAGATAATGGCAGCTCTGGAAAGGCCCACAAACAAACACTGATCTGTGTTGGTGTGTGTTTGTGGGGTCTTGATATTCAAATGGGCCACACCAGCAGAAACTCTGTTCTTTCGGTTTGATGAGCTGAAGCTAAGAGAAAATCCACATTTCAGTTTGTGTCTGTTTCCAACTCACCTCGCCGTTGCCGCTTTCATTGTATCTATATCTTCAATCGCCATTCGAACACGTCAACCTGCATGTTTCCACAACTCTCGCTGCTGCAATCAAGCAGCAATTCTTTATAGGGCTTCTGTTGCCTTTAGATTCCCTCCACCACCACTCTCCTCTCTTCTTGAAACGCCTCCTGATTCTCTTTTTGACTCAGGCATGTTATCATTAGCTAACACATCACACGCTGAAGCCACGGTGAGTCACGTCAGCCAGCTGTAGGTACTGTTCATTATATTCGAGTTGTTTTTGTTCAGTGTCAGTAGACTCAGGCTGTGGTGGACTTTTTTTTTTCTACTAAATTATTATTTTGTTACTTTTGCCGTGTAATTAATTGCCACCATGAGCTGTTTTTCACTGTCGCTGCTGCTTCGATTCTTGAATGTTTTTGATGAGCGGGCCAAATGACAACTTCTTATTGTTTTAAGAACACAGTGAGAACGCGCCCCTCTTCCCACACACAGTAGTTTTTACTTTATGTCTCATTCGCCACCCAAAAACTTTAAATCCCGTTCTCGCCTGGTAAAACGGTCATCACAGTTGAAATGTTTCTATAAATGTTTAGTATAGAAATATGACACTGATAACCATCTGAACATTTTACTCTCAGAAGAAAACTACATTTTTCTAAATGTGTTGAAGTTTCCTGTCATATCTTTGGACATCTGATCTCATTTAAAGATCACAATAATCTTATGAAAGTCTGAATATGATTACTTTTGCTTTCTCGTTTCGTCTGAGGAGTCACCAAAAGGTTTACAAAGAAACAATGCTGTATTTTTCATTCATTTCATTTCATTTCTACAATTATTCTTTTCATTTTTCTTAGTGTGTGTCCATAGATCAACCTTAAACCATCAAATATTTGTCAAATCTTGGGGTCGACTGATGTAGTTTTTCAGGGCCGAAGCCAATTATCGGATTATTTGTAATCAAGGAAGCTGGTAACAGATATTTGAACCTTAATTACATTTGTAGTAAAAATGAAAATCTTGCTGTCAAAATTAGAATAACAGAAACTTAGGCAAAAAAAACTTTGTTGAAATGCTTTTGTTTATTTATTTGTTAACTAAAAAAACTTTTTTTTTTTTTTAACATTTATCCTTCAGTGTTGATAGCTATTACTCATGAAGTGTAACCATTCCGACAGTACTGTGGGTGGGACATTGCTTGGCTACGGATGTGACTACAGATAGAAAAAGCTGCATAAGATCCAAAGTAGCATTTTTTTTTTTTTAATCTGGAATTGGTTTTTTAAAAAAAATAACAAAACCATTATTCAGAAAATGCTGATCATTAGAACCAATAATCAGACTGACCGACCCCGAGTCAAATCACAATATGATGAGTGAATAATACCAAATAAACAAATATTTTCTACTTGGTACTAAACAGAAAGTACAGATGAGGTTGTTGGGAATGTTTTTAATGTGACAAGAACACATTTTACTTTAGATCTTATGCTGCAGCTACATGTAAAGTTAAGACATCACCAAAGATATCACAACTCATCCCGAGGGGCAACATGAGTATCAACCCGTCATGGTGTGTCATCCAGTAGTTTTACTCCAAACTACCAAAGTCAGATTTACTCCAGGGATCACTAATGTCTCTAGGATTCATCCCTGAGGAACTGTGAACATCAGTGCAAAATTTCATTGCAATCCATCCAGTATTTGCTGAGATATTTCAGTCTGGACCAACATTGCCATCCACAGAGTTGTTGCTGCCACCACAGCTGAACTCGGTGTTTACAGTTTCCAGGAATCACGCTTTCTTTGACAATGATGTGTCCAGATGTGTATGTGTGATCTGTGTGTGTGTGATACCAGGTCACAGTATGGCAGAGACGCTCACTGTCGCCCTGCGTGTTGCTGAGGAGGCTATAGAGGAGGCCATCGCTAAGGCAGAGGAGTTCAGTGACAGCTTGGTGAGGCGTCCCTCTGTTTCTTTTCTTCCCACCAATCCCTCCATCCCCCTGCCCTTTATTGTTGTGTTTTTTTATTATTATTATTATTTTCTCCCTGCTGTTCATTCAGTCCCTCCTTTCTCTGCCATGGCCTCTTACTGCTGTTCCCCTCTTTCCCTCCTGTTGGTCTCAGTATCAGCAGGAGGCAGTCATGGTTTTTGGCTAAGACATCTGCACAGACCCTCTCCTGGTAATTCACAGTGGCTTTGATCAGGATATATCTGTGTGTGTGTGTGTGTAGGAGAAGCAGAATGAGGCTCGATATCTGCGGGACCACAAAGAGGAGCTCATAGAGGAACTTGCCACAACCATCGTACAAAAAGTAGGTTGAGTGTATTTTATTTTTTACAGGTTGATTTTTTTTTTTTGTCCCCTTTATGAGAAGTCTGATCCAATGTTATACGTCAGGCTATAATCCAACTGTGCTTTCACCTTGACAGTGTGATTAGTTCACCATTGTAATTTCAAACAAAAGCTTTGTAGTCAAATGGCAACTGATATAAAAATCTTTTTATTTTGAAAGCGAGAATACAATATTATTGGAGAAAAGGGTAGAAAGTCTTTGAAAAATGATAATAGAGTTTGCCAGAATCTGCATACCATTACATTAAAATTCAAATGACAGCCGCTTTAATTTTAATTATATTTCCTAATTTGCATACACACAGTAATGTGGAGACAAAGGTTGCAGTTACGCGACCGCTTTTTAGTTCTAACTAACATTTGCCAGCCATAAACTCATTGGAAGTGAAATATTAAATGCTTTATTTTTTTTTATCTCCACTTTGAGGATAATGTTACGGGAAAATTCAAATGGAGACTGGATTATTGGTTTTAAATTTTCATTATAACAAATTATTCATGGCTAAATATAAAATGCTGTTACAGGATTGTATTTGCGATCGCCAGTTTGCATTTATTATTATGATTTATTATTTAAATAAAACATATGTGAAATTATAGCTTCTATCATTTTCTCTCTCCCCTCATCTTCTTCTCCTCCTCCCGTCTTCCGTTTCTTCTCAGATCATTCAGAGGAGGAAGCGCTCAGAGATGCAGACAGAGTATGACTTTGTCTGGCCTCAGCCTCAGTCTCTGATCCAGCCCAGTGAACTGTCCTCTCCTTCTCAGCCTCACGCTTCCTCACAAGGACCACAAGACCCCCTCAAGACCTCCTACTCTCTCTGGGTGAGTCTGCGTGTCGCCGCTCAAACTGTCACAACACTGCAAGCCATTCACACGACCAAAGGCATCCATATCTGGTTGTGTCAAAACAAAAATTGCCCTCTTAGTGGGCGTAAACTGAGTCTCCACCAAAATGATTCGCTCTTTGATTTTTGCACCATGTGATTTTTTTTTTTCTCAGTATACAACCATGCATTTCTGTGTAATTTTTCTGTGTTTTGCCAGACCGGCTGTGGTTTTACAGTGTTTGCCAGCTTTGAAGAAACACAGGAATGTTGTCTTTGGCAGAAAATCGCTGTAACCTTTCAGTAGTGCAGGTCACATGCAGTCATGTGAAAAATACATCCCATGGAAATTGTTGCAGTTTGATGACCAGCAAACTCTTGATCCTCGTTGAAACAGTGCCTACAGGTAAAGATGGTATTTCAACACAACCACAGGGAAAATGTGCATTTTGGGTAATTTATATAACATAAATATCAGTATATTAATTATTTTTCTGTGGCCTAAGCGAGTTTCGTCCCCTTTCGCAGAAATAACTTCATCTAAGTGTTTTGCATAATTGTTCAGCCACCCCTGACACCAGCTTTTTTGGCCACTCTTTCCAACAAAATTCCCTCAATTGCAAGATTTTTGAGGGTTTTCTTGCATGTCCTGCTTGTTTCAAATCCCCCCCTCTCCACATCATTTCAATGGAATTAAAATCTGGGCTTTGACAAGACCGTTCCATGACCCTCCATTTCGTCTTTTTGAGCCATTCCTCCGGGGATTTGCTCATGTGCCGAAGATCATTATCCTGTTGAAAGGTCCACTTCTGTTTCAACTTCAGCTTCCAGACAGATGGCCTCACATTATCTTCAAGCCCTCTTTGATATGATGCGGAATTAATAGATGAATCAGTGACAGCAAGCTGCCCAGTCCCTGAGGCAGCAAAACAACCCCCGAGCCATAACATTTCCGCCACCATGTTCTACAGTCGAGCTTCTTCTCCTGAAAAGCTGACTTTGATCTGCATCAAACAGGCCTGCTACTACTGTGGCCAAATACCCTTATCTTTGATTCGTCTGTCCAGGGCGCATTATTCCTAAAGGCCTGCATGTTTGTTCATTGGCAAACTGAAGTGTTGCTCTAATGTCCTTTCTTTCCTGGCACGACTCCGATGCAGGTCAAATTTGTGCGATCTCATACAATTTGACACCAACAGTTGCAGAGTTACTTGAAGATCCTGTAATGAAAATTTGGGGGTTCTTGGACACTTCCTTTTCAGTCACATGGTCCGTGCTCTTGTGTGAATTTCCTGGGTCAGCCTGTCCCGGAAAAGCATTTGAAATCCTTTTTTTTCTGAGAGCATTATAGAGCTCTCCATATCTTGGCATGATGACACCACACATTAATAGTGAAGCGAACAGCAGACATTAGATGTCAGAGGTTTAAATAAGACAGGTTACACATGTCACGCCCCGAGGAGGTTCGAATCATTAGCACCTAATCTGGAAACCCTGATTTAGATTTAATGGATTTGAAGGTGTGATAAATGTAGGGTTGCACTATATTTTTTCCATGTGCACTGTTTCGATGAGGGTCAAGTATGTGCCTGTGTGAATACATTGCAAACTCAACAGTTTAAATGTCACGCATTTCATTTTTTCATGTGACTGTAAGTGGTGATGATGTGGTCCTATTTAGTTTTTTGCTGTGGTCTCTTTCTTACAGTTGTTGTAGTGCATGCCGGTTGCAATCAGACAGAATTAAGCAGCAAGATTTAGGAATTCTCTCCTCTTAAGCGAGCAGGATGTGTTTCGATGCTGGTTCGGTTCCAGATTAAGGATGTTAGAACTTGAGCTAATTAAAAGGAGAGTTTTGACTTGGTAGAGATAAGCTCTCTTTGAGTTTTATCTCTGTGTTGCCGTTTTTCTTCGGGTAACGGCTAAAACACACCAGTGAGCAACAAAGTAGACCCTCAGGTGCGTGGCTAATAGCTCTTTTTATCACTGTTGTAAGTGGATTTTCTCCTTCAGTAGACAAAAGCAAAATGTGGAAAGTATTCTGAATGTCATGCCAAGTAGGAGTCTGACTGATATCTTAAAGTAGGCCAGAAGAAAATACAAAATGACAGTTAACCTAGCATTGTTTCACTAAAACGTACACACAATATGGCAATAAGACAACACAAAGTTACAGGATGTGATACACATAACAACACACACACACATACACATAAATCAGCAATACACACGTACCTGGCATCGGTTCACACTACAAGTCAGCAGGGACTCCTGGAGATTTGTCATCGTCCTATGTGTGAGCAGAGCATCAAAGCGGTACTCCCCGAGCTTCTCAGTTCTGTTTCCCGCTGTTTCACTCAGCCAAGATCAAAGTTCTGTGAAATACGCAGGGATCCTCCTCAGCTGCACGGCCTGCCACGGGATGAGCTCTGTTTATCAGCTCTCCGCAAACACACTCACTGACACACAATGCATGCAAATTAGCCCTCACAGACGTACCGTAGTACTACAACACTAAACCTTAATGTTGAGTCCCACCCATTTTCAGGATGGATGTTTTCTCCCTGTAGATCTTATGTAATTTTTGTTCCCTTCAAGGGGCTGCTCAGTAAAGAAACAGGAAAGCAGGCCCACAACTATAAGTGCATGTCACATGGATGTAAAACCAGGGGTGATGCCGTAAAAATACATTAGGATGAATTAGTTAAGGTCTTCTGAGTGTGTGTGTGTGAAACAGAGAGAGATAAACAGGGAGAGATATTAGACTATCATCCTAGTTTATTATGAATGTATTGTTATTTACTACACACAGACACATACACTCACAGAGGCTGCCCTTATTAGCCATTTGCTTAGTTGTTTTGTAGCTCCACCTGCTGATGAGAATGGTAAATCACAGTCACAGCAGCTTTTATTACAGGAATTAGGTTAGCCAGATGGAGCGAATGCTCTCCTTACTATAATGTAATTACTATAGATGGATATCATTTCTGAGTGTTTTCTGGCCAAGTGCCATTGTCTGTGTCCAAACAGCATTTCCATCACTACTGAGAAGTTTATTCAACTGAGATGTCTGTGAAGATTCTCAGTCATCCAGGTCATGCTCATTTTGGTTGATTAGTTGTAGGAACTGGACTTGCTTGAGTTCATTGAAGACGTTTCACCTCTCATCCAAGAGGCGTCATCAGTTCTGACTGACTAGTTGGGAGTTCCACATATTTATATCCTAAGGAGCCATTAACACCTGAGTTTCGGTTTCAACTGAGGGTTGTTACTCCTCCCCCTCATTATGTGAGGTGTTAGTGCTCCCCTTGCCACAGCGGGGTTCGTTAGGGTCCTTTGTGGCTAAATGTGAATGGAGTTTCATTTCCCTGTCCCCAGGAAGATGAAATTAATCGATTAATCTACCAGAATATTCAACTGAGAGTTTGACTAAATTTTCCCATCATGAAAAATCCATTTGTTTAGCTTTAAACTTCTGAACCCCAAAACCTACTCACAGATTTCAAAGGCATGTCATCTTTAAAAAAAACAAAAACAAAACAAAAACAAAAAACACGAAAATGACACCATTTACAAACTAAAAACAGTAAAAACAGGAAGAAATGACAAATTTAAGCTTTTTGATGGTTCCGTCTGGAAAAATTGACCAAATCTGAGTTTGACATCATGATGTTTTATAAAATGCACTTTATTCTACATGTCTAATTTGAAAAATCACCAAATCTAGATTATTTGCACGAAACAGACAATGAAATGAAATGAAAAGAAACTCGTGACAAAAATTCAGGAATTTTCACATGACCTGGGATGAACTGTAGGCTGTGCTTACACAGAGCAGACAGGAGACAAATTAGGATGTACATCATTAAATATCTGTTGTATGTAGAGCTACCTTTTTTCCCCCAATATTGGTGACACCTGAGAAATGTGTTGCATAATTCTAGGCTTTATCCATTTTTGTAAAACAAATATTCAAAGAAATTGAAACTTCTCTTTTTTTCCTAATTTAAGAGACATTTTTGAGCTCTCTCTACCTTCAGCCATGGTTGTTGTTTCCACAGAGGTGCAGGACTTTATATTGCAGTGAAAAATGAGTCAACAGTGAGCAAAAATCTGACAGGACATGATTTTTTTTTTAAAAATGGTTATAAACTGGTTGGGGGCTGCAAGGTGGAGCGGTGGTTAACACCATTGCCTTGCAGCAAGAAGGTTGCCAGTTCATGTCCCGGTGAGAAAACCCGGGATCTTTCTGCGTGGAGTTTGCATGTTTTCCCCGTGCAGTATGGGTGCTCTCCAGATTCTCCAGCTTCCTCCCACAAGTCCAAAAACATGTTGAGGTTAATTGGTGATTCTAAATTGTCCGTAGGTGTGAATGTGAGTGTGCTTGGTTGTCTGTCTCCAAGTGTGGTCCTGTGATAGACTGGTGACTTGTCCAGAGTGTCCCCAGTCCGCTGGAATAGGCTCCAGCCCCCCGTGACCGGATTCAGCGGTGTATAGATAATGGATAATGGTTGGAAATCAAAACATCTTCACTGAAGTTTTGCTTCTCCAGCTGAACCCAACCTCTGACCTCAGCTGTGGCGTTTATGTCAGCAGATTTACATGTACGTCTGTGTCATTTTGCTCATATTTGCGTGTCTCTGCCTGTGTGTTTTAATGTGTGTGCTCGCAGCGATCACGATCAGCGTTCTCCCTCACCAGTGACGACTCCCCAGAAAAGGCTCCAGAGGAGGAAAGTGCCAGAGCAGACGGCAGCGGCTTGCAGGAGTGCACTTCCCTGAAGAGGGAGGCCAAGGCCACGTCTTTACCCAGCTGGAAGAGCATGGATCGCCTGGACAACTCGAGTAAATATCAGACTCAGAGACTGTTCTCAGCAGTTTGCCTTTAGTCAGTTCTCTCCTCTTGGGATTTTATATAAGATACATTACTCATTCGCTTTAAAGATTCCTCTCTAGTATCTTGACAGATAATGACGATAAATTTACATACTGCGTAATAAATGCTCTCAGAGGAGACACACAACTCAATTATGAAAATTGATCTCTGAATTATATGATAATATGCCCATATAACTTCAGTAATGCAAGAAAAGCCCATTTTTATTAAACGTTTTCAGGATGGATTTACTATTTACTGATTTCTTGCTGTTTATGCCATTTTTATTAGCCTTCTTTACCTTGCCCTTTATAACCACATCCCAAAATATATCTTTAAAGTAAAAGATTGAAGTGTTTGCATTCTTGAAGTCAGTCATACTTTCAATACCAGTATTCTTGAAGAGTTAATTGTGAAATGCTCTATTTATTGCTACAGTTTAGTTTGCTGCCCTAATGTTTCTCATGCTTGCACCCCCACACAGACTTTCCACAAGTACACTTGCAAACAAAGTGAAAACGAATAGTTTCTCTAAACTTGCTCCTGCTGTTAATGTTCACCCAGGTGCGTCCTCCGTGCTGCAGAGCCCGGACGGTAACTGGATTGCTCTGCACAGTTCTCAGCTGTCTCGGCCCAGCCTGCTCACCAAGAGGAAGAGCCTGGTGTTCAGCGTGTTGGAAAAGGAGTCCGGCGTTGTCTCCGCGTACGACGAGATGGGATCTGACTCCGAGGAGGACGATGAAGGCGGCTGGGGTGCGGCGCTGAGACAGTTCCGGCGCAAACTGTCAGACGAGACTTACTACACGGACTCGCAGCACGACCCCGAGTGGACTTACACCCAGCACCTCCCCGTCACCTCCCCGTCCTCGGGCCAGTACACCAACACCGAGACTCTCAACTCGGACTCCGAGGCCTCGTCAGTGTTGTCCGCTTGTCCTCGCAAACCGCCTCACAACCTGATGAGGAAGAAAGGGCCGCCAGATACGCACCTGCACCCTCATCATCAGCCGCTCTACCACCAACACCTTCACCAGAACTTCTCTCCGTATCCAGTCCACTCCGAGGCGCTGGATGTGAACTTTAACCCCAAGGTGATATGATTTTACATCGTGACAGAATTTTGTTTGTAATTCTGTACTATTACATGAATTTACACTTTATTTTATATGTCAAGTGAAGCTGGTTTAAATTGTTTATCTACATAAAAACATAAAAACTAGGACATTACTTTGCAAAAAAGCACATAACACAAGGAAAAAGCAGCAGTACAACAATATATTTTAAAAAAAGACTCCATGAAAAGTACAATCTTTGTGTAAAAACCAACTTTACTGTGCGTAAAAATACCAGCAAAATGTACCTAAAATATCAGAAAAGTAGCCCCTGTGACTTATTTATTATATAGCATCATTAGATTGTTAATATTGATGCATAAATGTGAAGCAGCCTTTCTAACTGGATGAGGAGGAGCAAGTTTTAGCTGCTTAGTTATTTAGTTTAGTCCAATGTTTCTTATCTCAGGGCTTGAGCTCACAACAAAGGATCAGAATGATT